CACCAACTTTAGAGCAAGATCCTTTTAAAACTACTTGGTGTTTAGTTCTATAACTTTTGTTAAAGGATTATCAAATATTAAAAAATACAAGTTCCATATTTAAAATTATTTTTTATATTTACTTTCTTGAGTAAATTAAAAAAAAGTGTTTTTTTGTCAAATTTTACATATAAATTTGGGTGAGTTAACTTATTTGATTTATATGTGACAACATTTTGAACCCCTGTAGAAGGACATGTCCTGTGTTTAATATTAAAGCTCTTTACAATAATTACTTGCACCAAATTTTCTGTTCAAAGAAAAACAAAAATTTTGTTGAAGTTAGTAGAAGAAGCAAACACCTACTATATAATGATTTGTAAGAGAAACATATGAAACCAATCTTCTTACTTTTAGTATGCAAGTCAAAAGCATTTATATACAAGATAGCTAGTAAGGAGAAGATGCTCTTGTGTTGAAATTTTTAATAGAAAGTTGGTTGTGGTTAGTTGTTTGTATACAAATAAAATTAGCTATCCTACTCATCAATGAAGTTGTTTTGGTACTCTGACTCTCAAAGTGAACAACAAATATGTTTTTCATTACCTTCTCTAGAGGTTTTGGCTATCTTGCACTTAATTTTATTTTATCGTCATTTTTTTACAAATTTTTTAAAAAAAATAGAGATTTAGCTACCTCTCTCCAAATGATTAATATTGTTTACCACTTTTATTTTTAGAAATTGCTATTGTAATATGATATATAAGAGATACAACAAACACGTATAGAGTATGTAGTAATTGATATTAATGGATTTAATATATAAAGGGGCTTTTGGTTTGTTTTTAGATACTTTTGTTAGTATCATGTGAGATATACATTATTTTGAAGTCATATGTATAATATTTTTTAAATTTATCATGAATTATAACAATACTTTCATTATATTTGTTTCTTCTTTTTTTATTCTGCCTTTTTTTTTTCTTTCTTTGTAAAGTTTTAATATGTTTTTTTTGTAATATTTATTTTGGTATTTTTTCTTTTTAGCTTCAAACTTCCTTTTTTCTTTGATTTTAAAGTTTTTTTGTTAAGTAGTTAGAAGTTTTTTTTCTACTCAGGATGTTAAGAGAAGAAGATTTAGAATTTAAAAAAGAGAAAGCAATAATGATGGCTATAAATGCTATTTAGTGATATATTAGATTTTTTAATTGCAGAAGAATTTAGTATGGAGGAGAATTTTACTATAGCAAATCATATATGGGTAATTTGAACCTTTGGTACAAAGAGCCAAATGTGTTGGTACTTGTAAATTAGATATAATATGTTAGCCCAGTATTAAAGTTAGCTCACTTATAAAATAGATATGAAATAGATATGTAAGTATTTACCTAATAAAGTATTGGCATAATTGTTGAATTTTTAAAAAAAATAGTCTAAATATAATGCTTATTTATTGATTGAATTATCTAAATAAGAGTTTGTAACTAACTTTAATTTTAGATAAGTGAGATTGAAATTTTAAAATTAAAAAATGTTAAATATATAATTATTATGCAAATAAAGCTTATAAAACAGAGCAAATATATTATAATTTTATTCAAAATCAGAAATATATTATATAATTCTAAATCTCTTAATACTTGAATTTCATTTTCTGCTTATTTAAACTTATGAGTATAGATAATAATTGTTGTAAAAGCACATTAAATAATACTTAATTTAAAAAAGCCAATTCTTTAAATAAAAATTTTTAAAATAACAACTTTGTACTACTGCAATATTATCCAGGCAGTGAAGCTGCCTGTATTCACAATCTCTAGTTATTTCTTAAACTGTTTGAAATTTAAGGCAAATTTGTTCTGAATTTTACTATAAAAATACTTTTGATATATTTTTAAAAAATTTGATATATTTAATTAAAATTATTTTTAAATAAAAATTAAAAGTAAGGATTATATTTTTGCAAAATTTAAATTTAAATTACAAGATAAAAAATTTAACTTACTATAGGCTAAAAATATACAAAATTTAAAAAAATTTTAATTAAAAAAAATTTACAATCATTTGAAAAATTTTTAAATATTAATTTTAAACCTATAGTTTCTTAATAGAAATTGTAGTTTAAATAAAGGATGACAACTTTTGTTGTTACAACTTTTATGATTTATTTGTAAAAATTAAAACTTATATTAGAAGTAAAAAAATTTTTATTAATAAAAACATATAAAAGTTTAAAAATTTAAAGGAAAATCTTATAGTAAAAAGTTCAAAATAAAAACCTTAAGATTTTATTATTCCTAAGTTTTTTAATAAATTTAAAAAAAATTTCTTAATAAAGTTATTTGAATATATTTAAAAAAACATTTTTTATTTAGAAAGTATATAGCTAAAATTAATATTAAAATTTTATTAAAAATAAAATTTTTAAAAAAACTTCAGGACAAATTTGTGGGAGAAACGGTTTAAGAGATAATTATGAAAATGGCAGCGGTGATTTATGTGCTATTAGAACTGAAACGGGATATGCTCCCGGAAATAGTAATACAAGTCACTCTGTTTAGACCGACATCAGGATATAACGACACCATAGTAAAATTTTTCTATATCGACATTTTTTTTCAAAATTTAATATAAAATGTCGGCATAACTCACTGTACCGACATTTTGAATTTTTTTACTAATGTCTCAAAAATGTCGATATAACCAGAGTACGTGTACTATTGTGCCGGAAGATAACTGTAGGCAGTTGTTTGTGGGCTTAGCGCCGACCGTCCGTATGAACATGATCTTGATATTTGCAGCTGAGTGAGCAATCGATGGCATAAAGCCCAATTGCCGCCTTTATTAAGTTAGAGATTACTGCTTGTGGAAAGTTATTCAATTATACTCACCTCTTATGATTATCCGGACCGGACTTGTACCGGTTGATGGTTCCACGATGCGCGTCATCATGCTTAGCGTCTTTCGATATGTTGACTTTACGTCAACACGAATTAGGAATTGCCAATTTTATAATTCATGCAGAAGTTACATTTTTGATATTCTGTAAATCCTTATCGCTATTTTTACTCTCGCGCAATGATATATTAAGGTAAAGGTATTGTTTTCTTGTCATATTTTCTACACAATGTAAACGTTTGTTATAATTAACTCCTGATATAGCGAAGGCACTATAGCTTATATCGAGAGAATTAATGATACATGTATTTCCCATATCGGCAGATTTTCGGAATTGGTTTTCATGGATTTGTAAAACGAATCCAAAATGTAAAATTTTTATATACATACGGGTTCGTTTTACAAACCCATGTAAATCAAATCCGCAGATATGCTATATTTAGTTGAAGTTTAATTCAAGATTATTCACTATATCTGATATTGAATCTTTACTATATCAGAGTTCATTATAAAAATAGCATTTATTGCATTATGGTATTTTGAAATATGACAAGAAAACAATACTTCTATCTTAATATACTGTATCATTTCGCAAGAGTAAAAATTGCAATAAGGATTTACAGAATATCAAAAATGTAACTTTTGCATAAACATAATTCACATAATTTGGAATCGTGAATTACAATTATCATCAATGTGACAATTCCACACTTAATTGTGGAATTACTAAAATTATTAACGTTAACCACATTTAGGGATGTTAAGTGGTCCATGGGGAACTGGTTTAGACCGGACTTTTTAAGGACTGATCCAAAACCAGTCCAACTCTCACATGACATGAATTGAGTGTCATTTTTGACACATTAATAAAAATTCGATAAAATGTAAATCAATAACAATACGGTGGTACTTTAAATAAAATCCGCTAATTTGAAAATCAATGACAGATACTCTAACGCTAATTGGTGAATTAAGTCAAAATTAGTTAAATGCCGACTTTTCGGTCAAATAATAGTAATACTACTAGGCTAATGCGTAGCATTGTGTGTCCGGAGCACATGACGATTATTATATAACACAAACGCGTAAGCATGCATATTTTTTGTAGTACTAAATTACAAATTTAAACACGCGTGCGGACAGACAAGAATTTTCAAAGTTACGATTTTGATAAATAGCTTAGAAGTGAATCAAAAATGTAACTATTGATGTATCAAGATCGTAACTTTTGTATCACCATGACTAAACACTAAATGTCCTCCGCTACGCTCCGGACAAATACTAATACTGTAAAAAGTATTATAAAACCGCTAGGACTTGTTTTTGACAAGTTTAAGGACTGGACCGGGACCGGACCAGACGCACCACTTACATTCCACAATTACACAATTGTGGAAATAATTCCCCTGCATCACTAGTAATGGGTCACGTGATATATTATAAATAGGTACGTAAGGTAGGTTTCACTACATTCAAAACCGCCTATAAAGACTGATAAGGATTTTTTTCACATTATAATTTAAATCGTTCATTTAAAATGTAAGTATTTCAAACGTAGAAAAATTTATTAGTATAAAAATCTTAAATTTTTTTTTCAAATCAGTCTATGACAACATGACAACAAAGGATTGGATAACCAAGTTTAAAGAAAATGTTTTGATTCCAAGATCCGTAAATCTCGATCATCCTTCTTCACCTGGTTCGAGAGATCCTACAGAATGGGGAATGCGTCGTAAAGATCTAATCCAATACATTGAAAATTTACACTATTTTGGGCAACTTTTTTATGATCTAGAATTTATGAACAAATTATTCGAAAGATATAAACTAGATGAAGATATTATTAATGATTTTTTTAAATCTTTTGAACATGACATAGAAGGAAATTATACTGTAAGACAAAAGAAAAATCAACGTTATAAACATTATACGAATAATCTGTTTAAAGCATTTAAAAAAATTGAAAATGAAGATGAAAGAAAAGAGTTCTTTTTTAATGCAAGATTTCCAATTTCAACTTTGTATGACCAAGATATAGAAATTATTATTGATGAATTTTTAAGAAACAAAAGCGAAAGGTAAATCTCAAACTCTAAGCATGAAAACTGATTTTTTTTCATCCAATGTACAGTTAATTCTTTAAATTAAAAAATTTTCTTTAGCGTTATGACGATAAAATCAGAATCGGATTGATTTTTAAATATATAATTTTTATTATAGATTTTCTATTGTCGTAATTTCTATATTTTAGGAATATGATGAATAATTGGCTTCATAATATGTTTACTTTTTTTTGAATAAAATAATAAACTTCATCTATAATAATATTTATTTTGATTGGTGCCTTAGATCACAAAAAACATAATGCAAACGTTGTCTATATACAGGTGATAGTGAGAAAAATACTCGTAAGACAGGTTTTGTCCATGTAGTACGCGACTACACAAGAAACGCTTGAGAAATTACTCAGTGGACTCCTTCGTCAATTTATAGATTGGCCAAGAATTCCTTAAATAAATTTAATGAAAATCACACGAGAAATGTTTAAAACAAGATTTATCTATGCATAGTAATATATTTGTGATTGACAAGAAATTAAATCGAAGTTGCAGAAAATTTTTTGAAATTTTAAATGTGTTAACCACCTAATGGAATTCGATAAAATTTTTTTATTTAATTATACAGGTTGTAAAGTTAAAATAAAAAGATTTCATCAGGTGATTGTTGAGATATTTTATTAATAAAATCGCAGCAGCCTATTAAATGAAAATTGTTCTTGGGCCAATTTTGCCATAATGCGAGCTTAGTTTTTAAAAAAGTTCTATTTTTGTAAAGAAAAAATTGAAAAGTTAATTCCGACCGGAAATTACCGTATTTTCGCGAAATAACGGGCATGGGCGTTATTTAGAGGTTTGGCCCGAATTAAGCTTAATTTAGGCTGAAATTTGTAATTTCACCCCTGCGCGTTATTTCGCGAAAATACGGTATGTAATGCGGGCCAAAATTTTGAAGATTAGCCAAAATTTTTTAAATTTTGAACGAAGATATCTCGACGGCTACCTAATAGAATTCAATGAAATTTTCTTTATTTTAATTCTACATCCTGTAGAATTATAATAAATTTAGTCCAGCAGTTGTCGAGAAATTGTTTAAAAAATACGATTGACATTGTTTTCTAAGATGTTCAACATTTTTTAAAATTTATACGAATGTTTCTCAACAACTAACAGACAAAATTCAATGTTTTTTTTTTATTTTCATTCTATAAAAATTTGATGCACTTTTATTTTGATATAGAAACGTAGTTTCAACAATCTAATTATTGGGAATTCGATATTGACGTATAAGCAAGGATATATTCGATATTGACGTATTTTTATTCCTCTTAATAATATTAATAAATTTATATTTTATTTGAAGTTTTTGCTATAATTGTGAAACGTATATAATTGTCCGGAGCGAGGCGGAGGACAACGCTCCTAGCTCACCCACAAAAATTGCTCATCCCCTGTAATATTGTTAAACCAAATTTCAGGATCAGGTGTAACGTAAAAATCAAAGCGAAACCATTTTTACAAAAAAAAACAAGGAATAGCTCTAAATTTTAATTAGAAACTACCTTCTGCGGCCTAATTAAATGAAATTTTACCAATAGCTCCAACCCTAACCCTTCACGCTAGCCCGCGGTTTTCTTTTTACATGCGACTTTTTACTTAGAAAACAAAACGTTTGTTTTGACTATAACGTTAGATCCTAAATTTTGATTAGCCAAAATTACAATTATTTGTGGGAACGTTACCAACTGACACTGTTTTTACGACAGCAAGTGATTATCTAGATCATGTGAAAACTCTATCCCGTCCGCTTCTGTGATGCTGATTGGTAGGATATAGTACATATATAAATTTTTATTTATGCCTAGCCTTATATATAAGTTATATTATAGAAAGGAATTATCATTTATTGTAGCAAAATAACTCCTAAGATGAAAGATAGAACTTGTCTATATATGGTAATATTTATTGTGATTGAAGGATGGGCAATTTTATATGTACGTACGTTCGATTATTATTTTTTACATAGTAATAATAAGTAAAAAAAAGCTCATGTGGGCGGATTTGCGTCATTATTACTAAAAACGGTAAAATATTTAACAGCGAATAGCTTTTATTCACTGGTTAACTTTAGATGATTTTACCATCAAAATGACCGTCTCGATGAGGCGATTCTAGCGAGCCCAAAATCGCCAAAATCCAATCACGGGATCCCGAGATATTTAAAAAGTTGTCTGCTTCGGGTAAAATAGAATGGGTTAATCTATCCTATTTTACCCGAAGCCAAATATCTCAAGATCCTGTGATTGGATCTTAATGATTCTGGGCTCATTAGAATCGTCTCATTGAGCAGTCATTTTGGTGGCAAAATCATCTAAAATGGACCGGGTAAGTTATTCGCTGTTAAATGTTTACTATTTTTAGTAATGACGCAAGTCGCCCATATGTGGTTAGAGTTTGGAGCCGGTTTTATTTTCCATATGTTAAAACCGGTTTTAATTGGTTTTAACATATGAAAAATAAAACCGGTTAAACTTCTAATCATAATAAGAAATATGTTAATAACGAGGTTAAAAATTTCATATTGAATACATAAATTATTACATTGTCCATCCTCTATAATTTAAGATAAAATTACACAAGAACGCCTAGGACAGAACTTGTCTATGTATGGTAATATTAATTGTGAGAGACCAACCTCATGTTGGTCCCTTACATTTTATTATGACAAAATAAACTCTAAGTACACGGGTCGGGTGACTCGTAAGTACGTTCCCACCAATCAATCAGATCAACGAATTCATAAAGTAAATGAAACTTTATACCAGCGAAACATATATACTTACTATCTTCACTAATTATCTTTTATTAATTATTTATTCAAGTAGAAATCTAATTTTTAATTATTATTGTCCTTGCACATGTACTAACGAACTGATCAAGTATGATCAAGTATTGTAAAATAATTTTTTTATGTGGTTCACACCGTGTGAAAAATCAGTCATGTAACATCAACGTTTCCTCCTGTTATCTTGAGTAATAACAAACTTGTGTTATGATTATAATCCAACACCATAAAAAATGGTGTTGGATTATAATAACATGTATTGTAAAATAATTTTTTTATGTGTTTCACGCCGTGTGAAAAATCAGTTGTGTAACATCAACGTTTCATCCTGATACATTAAAATTTAATATCACATATATTATTTATATTCATCTACTTAATAAACTCTACATAATATTAAATTAATATATGTATTATTATTAAAAAAAAGTATGTCGAACTTAAAATACGAAAGTTAAAAGCTTATAAGTTTTTTTTTAAATCTAAATTTACCTTAAACGTCTTGATCGTTTGTATATAGCCAATAAAGATAGTAACGAAATATTCGCTTCTAATAAAGTTCTTGATGTCACTGATTATTTTTGATTATTTTGCACAGTGAATATAGACGTTCTCTCGAAGCTAGAAATGGGTTTACGGTAATTTTTTGTTAGTAAAACGTTACGTTCTCCAAAAGTACTTTAAACTGTATAAATAAGTTACCCGGGCAATTGATTTTCTTGAGGGTCACGTATTTCCTGATATAGAAAATGGGCGAACTCAAATCACGAGCAAGATTGAAAAATTTTTTCAATACAAAATCGAAAAATTCTATACTAATGCTAAGTGGTGCGTCTGGTCCGGTCCCGGTCCAGTTCTTAAAAAGTCTGGTTCAGAACTAGTTTTTAACTAGTTCACCCCCTTGTCAAAAAACAATTCCCACCCTAGGAGTTTAATATAGATTTTATAATACTTTTTATTATAAACTTTACCAAAAAAGTCGGCAATTAACTAATTTTATTAATAAAAAAGTGAGGCAAATTCTATATTATTATAGAGGTTTAAATCAGCATTCCTGATGTATACAACTTTTTTCTATCAAGTAAAGATCTCTTGAAGCTCTAATAAAAGTTGTAGATGCAGGTTTTCTGATTCTAATGGTGGTTAAATCATCAAGATCGGCTCGGTGGATCGCGAGGTATAGTTATCTTTATCTTCGCGCTATTTAAAATTTCTTTGCTGATCTGCAAAGAAATTGTGAAGATAAAGATAACTATATCTCGCGATCCACCGAGCCGATCTTGATGATTTAACCACCATTAGAATCAGTAAATCTGCCTCTACAACTTTTATTAGAATTTCAAGAGATCTTTACTTGATAGAAAAAGTTAAATATCATATCATGTGAGAGCAAAACTGAGTTCCTATATATTGACAATATCTTGACGTTTTTTGTTTTTAAAGTTACCATAGATGAAGTTCGTAAGAGTTTTTTGTTACAATAGACAAATTTTGTCTAAGGCGTTCTCTCATTAAACAGGTTTTAATCAACAAATAAGCCTGCACGTTTCTCTCATGATTTCCTTGTACTCTAAGACGCCAATCACAATAAATATTACTATTTCAATCAACAAATGACGTTTTGCCTTATTTCCTTGTAAACTAAATCACCAATCACAATGAATATTACTAAATATAGACAAACTCTGTCTTAGGCGTTCTTGCGTAATTCACATTACTATTCATAAATAAACCTTGTCTTAGGCGTTCTTATGTAATTTTCTCATTAAAAATATAAAAATTAACAAACCTGCACATAGACAAGTTTTAATCAAAGAAATCTTACTATACAGGAGTTATAGTACAATTTTTATTACACATAACACTCGTCTTATGATTTCCTGCAACCTAGACATCAATCACAATAAAATATTACCATACATGGACAAAATTTTAGAGATGTTAAGTGGTCCACGGGGACTGGTTCGGACCGGGTTCAGACCGGACTTTTTAGAAACTAGTGAGTATTGTTAATTTAATTATAATATAAATGTCACTATTTTATATTTTATTATTCGATTTTTTGATTGTAAATAATCAAATTTTTATTGTTGTGATAAATATGCATATACGTTATAATTTTGACCTTTTATAGTAATAGCGCAGGTTTAAAACTAAAATTAGACAGCGTATGTAAAATTACTGCGTACAGAACTGTACTAAATTAACATATGCTAAAATTTTTACTATGAATACTGTAAATTCACACGCTTGTGAATACAAATCTTAATTAGTTAGACCGTCTCTAAAATCCCGATTTGTGTAAAAGGACCCAAATGGGTCATGACTAAGAAAACCCTTTTTGGTCGATTTTAAATTTTTGATTCAAATTAAAATATTAGTTCTTAGCTATATAAATTGCACTTTTATTCTATATTAAATTAGTAATTTATTTGGATTTTTCGATTTAAAAAACATTTCTTTAAAAATGTAATAGATTCAAAATAAAAAATTGTCCAATTAAATTAAATTTGAAGTGGTTAATTAATTAATGTTATAGTACAGTACTATATCGATATTTGCTATTATCGTATTAATTGCCCTATAAGAAAAATGTACCGTTGGTACGGATTCGAACCCGTGCTAATTGGACCATAAATGGCCTAGGTTTTGCAGCAGTTTACTAACATGTGGATTAAAATGATTAAAATATAAAATTTACGTTAGTAATCAATATAATATGCAAATTAACTGTATATGAAGTAAAATTTGTAAGGAATTTTTTTTTGCTAAGATACTCAGAACAGCTTCATCAGTGAAATTAAAAAAAAATCATTTATTGATCTTTCGCTCTCCATGAAACGAGCCAACACATATGCAACTTACACATACGTGTCATCTGAACGTGCCGTTCCGTATGACGTGATATAACGTACCACACTTTACAGTAATATCTGTGCCATTTTTACTGAAACAACACCATATGATTATAAAAAAGTTCTCTAATGTAATTCAAGTACGCATTTTACAGTAAGATACTATAGCATACATAAATAATATATAGCATTACTTAAAATAGCCTACCCTAATTTAAAGTATAACGTAATGTAAAAATTTAAGGATGTAAAACTGTAGAGTTGTTATATTGCAGATCTTATTAAAAAATAGAGTGAGGAAATATGAGATCGAAAATATTTAATTTGTATCCGTTGGGATATCTTTAATTAAGCTATTAAAAAAACATATATATTAGGGGAGTTATTATTGTTTTATTTATTTATTTATATTTTATAAATTATGGATATTCATTTAATTTTTAGGACTGAATTGATCCCTTTTCGTTATCGAATTTGTCCCGATATCCGGTGGGATACCTTTAAAAAGGGGAGTTATTATTATTAACAAGAGGAACCGTTGATTCGTCACAAAATATTACTGTATTAAGGGGAGTTATTATTATTAACAAGAGGAACCGTTGATTCGTCACAAAATCGTTACACAATTGATGAAAAAAATTTTTATATTATTTTACAATACTTTTTTGGAAGGCTCGCTTGACTTATCTTTTCTATGAAAATTGAAAATGGTTAAACAAACATGAAGCTCTCACTTTGCTTTACAGCATATTTTTTGAATCCCCTTGAATCCCATGGTTTCGTCTTTTTGTAAATTTCGCAATTTGATTGGTTGACTAATCCCGTAGTGATATTTTGACTGGTCAATACAATGAGTGATCTGTGTAACGGAGAATGAAAATCATATCTATATTTGGACGGTTTCTCCTGTTATATTATTATTTATTTATTTATATATTTAAATTAAACTGCTATGATTATTAAAGTATTTAAAGCCAACAAAAAATGATCTGAGCGGTTAATTTTTAAAAATAAAAAATGCTTCACAAAAAATCATCAACACGAAAAATGCCTTATAATAAGAAAAAAAAGAATGATAAATCTTCAACATGGACAGTCCAAGCCCCTAAAACCAGACAACAAAAAATAGATGAGAGGTTAAATAAAACCTTCGTGATTAAAAGAATTGATAGTCATTTGTCGTACCTTGGCAGAGAAAAAAAAAGAGCACCAGTCGAAGACAGATATATTTACGATAATGAAATTAGTTGGTACGATCGTTGGAAACAAGATATCAAAGCAATGCCCCAGGAAGATCCCTTAATATTCAAAGAAATTTTTTTCCGTTATGAAAGAGAAACAAAAAAACATAATGAAGAAATTGAAAGGTATTGTTTTTTCATATTATATATATTTTTAAGTTATTAGTTATTATTATTATTATTATATTTTTTTATTTTTATTTTTTTTATTTTTTATCGATAGATTACGTAAAGAAAATAAACAGCTGAGACAAGAAATCAGTATAAAAAAAGCTAGAATTAATGAGTTAGAAGATCGGATCGAACAAGTAAAAAGCGAAAAGAATCGAGAGATTGAAGAGTTGAATATTAAGATGCAGATAGATGCTGAAGAAGCTGTAAATCGGCATAAAGAAGAGCTTGATAAAAAAGAAGCGGAACTCCAAAATATAAAAAACTTATACATCGAAAAACATCACGACCTTGAAAGAGAAAACAACGAATTAAAAAAAAAAATAGAAAAATTGGAGATCGATCTCGAACGCTCACTAAGAATAAATGGTCGAAATGTTAATACGCAATACCAAAATCTTCGTGAAAGAACGACTGCTTATCAAATTATGTTAAACAAACAAGGTATCTATTATTGGTTAAACATAATAATTATTTTTTTGTATCTCATACAATATTAATAATAATATTTAGGCATTAAGACAACTCCCGTATTTGAAAGAGCAGAATCCGAAGATATGTCACTTTATTTTTATGAAGACGAAAACAATGATAATTAAAGTATAATCGTATATGATTTTGTTTTTTTTTCATTAAAGTCGAGTAGAATTTTTTTTTTTCTTTGCATCATTTAAAACTAAAATATCAAAGATTTCAAATGAATTATAGACTTTACGAGTTCATTGAAGAATATTTCGGTGCGCCCATACTTGCGTAAAAGGTGTTACTTAGACCATTTTCTTGACTTGGATAAACTTTCTAAGGAATGATAGTGAATCTCTTTACCTGTTTCTGTTTGTTGTAAATGAAATGATTAACGCACTTTATATGTTTTTACCTTTTTGTAAATAAAATAAAAATAAATGTCAAATTACTGAGGTGATTCAGAATTAAGGTGATTTCGAATTAAATTAGTGATGTATTTATTTCGATGATTTTTTGATTTTTTTATGATATATTTTTTTTCGAGACTTAAAATGGCTTATATTTCTTATCGAAAATTCATATCAAAAACATACTGTAAATATATTTTAGAAGTATTAATAAATATTAATAATTCGAAAATAAATATGCAATATTACTAATATTACTTAAGAATTTTTTTTAAAAAAAATAATTTGTAGTTCTTAATTAATTTATTACGATAACATTATATGATAACAATACATAATCAAATAAAAAGGTTATTCATTTCATCTCCGGATAACTCTTGATTTCAAAATTTCAAAACAGAAATGTGAATCCTATTATAAGTAAACAATATAAATAAATACACTTAGTGGTAAATTTTCTAAACTTTATAGACGAAAATAAAATAAATGAAAGTCAATTTTAACTTCCCTTTAATTTAATTTTCGTTGTAAACGGATCGCATCAACTCAGCCAAAATTCCGGGTCAGAACCCTGGTCTGCTGGACGCAAAATTATAAACTGTGCTCGGTTGGTGATCACGTGTCAATGTTCTTAGAACACCTAATTAATTAATGCAATAATCCTATTAAAAAATTCGAAACCTTCTAGTGATGATTTTCTCAGTAACTACTTGATCAATTTCAGTAAAAAATTTTTCTATTTTAATTCTATAGTATTGTATAATTAAATAAAAAAAGTTTTAAAAAACAAAATACCAAAATCGGGTAAAATTTTCTATAAATTTGAACAAAGATTTCTCGACAATCGACTATCCAAATTTGATAAATTTTTATTTATTTAATTTTATGGGTTTATAGATTCATAGAATTAAAATAAAAAAATTAATAGATTGTTGTTGTGAAATATTTGTTAAAGTTAAAAAAAATTTGCTCGCATCTTATATTTTAATGGCATCTAAACTTTCAGCAAAGATTACTCGACACTTACCTGGTCAAATTCGATCAATTTTTTTTATTTTAATTTTGAGATTGTAGAACTAAAATAAAAAAAAATTGATTGAATTTGACCAGGTAAGTGTCGAGTAATCTTTATTCAAAGCTTAGATGTCGTTAAAATACAAGCTGCGTCAAATTTTTTTATAACTTTTAACGAATATTTCACAACAACCGGCTATTCAAATTCGATCAAAATTTTTTATTTTAATTTTATGAATCCATAAAATTAAAATAAAAAAATTCGACAAATTTGGATGCTTTATTGTCGAGAAATTTTTGTTTAAATTTCAAAGAAAAAAAATTTTACCCGATGTTTTTTTCCGATATTTTAAGGGATCTTAAAACTTTTAGAGATGATTTCTCGATAAACACCTAACCAAATTCAATGTCCTTTTTTTATTTCAATTATATATTTTTATAGAATTAAATAAAAAAATTTTTACCGAAATCGATCAAGTAGTTACTGAGAAATCATCACTAGTAGTTTTAAAAAAACTTCAATTTTGTTTATTGCATTAGTGATCACCGTTTCAATAGAAAAGGGAGAGATCTCCTTTTTAATTCTGGTCAAATTGACCAGATTTAAAAAGGAGATCTCTCCCTTTT